AGGAGTGAAATGGACAAGAAATTACAGCTTCGGGTGAAATTGGGGTTTTATATGCTTTTACGGCGAGGTTTTAAAACCCTAGGACGGAGAAGGGGAGGGGAGGGAGACGGGACATGGGCACAGGCGGGGAGTTTTTGAGAGCAATAGCAACGGATCAATTTTTGAATTTTAGACTTCGACTCCATCACCATTCAACACATGCCTGCCTCAACAAGAATTTTTCTTCTTTCAATTGGTACAAATATCGTGCGATGCACGGGTAAGAGATAGTCATTAATTTTTTTAAATTATTAAATAATATTTATAAAGTAAAGTTAGGGATTAACATGTAATACAATATACTTATATTAATTTATTTAAAATTTTATATGAAATTTAAATTGTGTAAAATTACATACAACATGTCTATTTAAAATTTGTACACAGCTCGTACGATAATAATTTACATTATATTAATTCAAAATAAGTGTCATTTTAATATTTTTATTCAAAAATTCTGTAAGAATACAACGTGGTTCCAAAAAGTAATTATTTTGGTAAAATTTTATTTTATATTTAAAAATCTATGTGATTAATAAGTATAATATTAAAATTTATATTGTTTCATTAATTAAAATAAATTTATTTTTTTTATAAATTATCCAATTCAGAAAATTTCACTAGTTGTTTAATTTATTAAACTATAAATAATTGACTATTATATTTACGTACCATTTAATATTGATTCATAAGTTATGAATAAATACTTATTGCATTTTAGTATTTAAATTTCGAATCCAAATATGGACTAAAAAATAAATCCCCCATATATATCTACTTCAAAGACCTAAATAAATTAGGGTAGCTTATTTAATTAAAAAAAATTATGTGGCAAAAATAAAAGAAAAAAAAATACTGTGACAAGAATCAAACTGACGGATTTTGGAAATCCGTTAGAAAAACGGATATCCAAAATCCGTTTTTTTTTAACGGATTTTAAAAATCTGTTTTTTAATTTTTAATTTTTTTTTAGATCGGATTGTGAAATTCGGGCTCGTTAGAGCTCGTCTGAACTCGAAATTGAGTTCTGTTTTTTCCTACAAGTCGCCAACGAAGCCTTCTACGTATTTATGCTTTCGAATCTAATTTATTCTAGAAAACCTATTCTCCCAAAGATCTTGACCTGAAGTTGGCAGCTTCCATGCACGACTTCGCATATCGAGCTCGTTCGGACTCGTCCGAACTCGAAAGTGAGTTTCGATTCTTCGTACATATCGCCAACGAATCCTACTACTAGAGCATGCTTTTATGACCAATTTTCGGGTTGGAACTATTCCTTGCGGGGCTTCCGGCCAAAAACGGGGAAAAAGAATAAATAAAACGAAGAAAATTAACAAAATTCGGGCTCGTTTGGGCTCGTCCGAACTCGAATTGAATTCCATTTTTTTCGTACATGTCGCCAACAAAGCCTTTGTATAATTATGCTTTCAAATCCAACCTATTCATGAAAACCTATTATCCCAAAGCTCTTGACCTGAAGTTGGCGGCTTTCTTGCACGACTTCGCATATCGGGACCGTTAGGACTCGTTCGAACTTAAAATTGAGTTTCAATTCTTCCTACATTTCGCCAATGAATCCTACTACTAGAGAATGCTTTTCTGACCAATTTTATGGCTGGAACTATTCCTTGTGGGGCTTCTGGCCTAAAACGGGGGAGAAGAATAAATAAAGAAAAAGACTAGCAAAATTCAGGCTCGTTTGGGCTCGTCCGAACTCGAATTTGAATTCCATTTTTTCCTACATGTCGCCAACGAAGCCTTCTATGTAATTATGCTTTCAAATCCAACTTATTCTTGAATACCTATTATCTTAAAGCTCTTGACCTGAAGTTCGCGACTTTCTTGCACGACTTCGCATATCGGGACCGTTA